TATCCTGTATTCAATTTCCTTATTTCTTATACCTGATCCATACACCAAAGTATTTGAAGTGCTTAGGATTAAATTAATTCCACATTCTGAATTTTATGATGAATTCAGGGTATATACCATCACTACTTTTATTCCAATTCCAGATCATAGTCTCTGTTTTGGAATGGTTTATCATAGGTTCTACTTCTTGGTAGAGAATGTTGGCGTTTTGTTCAAGATCATTCTCAAACCAACACTGACAATAGTATAGCCCACCTGGCCTCAGGGAAAACAAGAGCACTGTTTTTTTTTATTAGTAGATTCATTTGTTTATAATTATAATTTATAAGTTTTATTTATCCAACTGCTACTACAGTGTCATGTTATTTGCTTTTTTTAATCATTTCACCCCAAGCAAGTTAATAAAGTCACTCAGATACAAGGGGTTACTGAATGTTAGAGAATATGAGGAAAAATGCTAGTAAGGAGTGAGAACAATGAAAGAACAGGAATTAAGAAAAGAGATGATGACAACTGACATTACATTTAAAATTTTGAAGATGAAATTTGACTGAGGATGGACAAGGAGAGTTCCACAAGTGAGAAGTATAATAGAAGAAACTGTTAGCATAGAACCTACCGTTACATTTAGCCATTTCAACTGTAAAATGATGAGACCTTGTTATCAATCTAGTATTGTGCTTAAATTCATAAGTACCATAGAGCAAAGTTCATCAGAACAATTACCATGAAAGTATTTATAGACAAGGTACAGGGAAGCTACAATATGGAAGTAGAAAAGTAACTGAAACCAAGATACCGGGTCAGGGCCAATAACATTGCAGATTCTTCTTTGTATTTTATAAAGAATCTCTAAATAAATAGCAGGAGCACAAGACCAGAATCCTGTTCTTTTATTGCACTCTTGTCTCAATAACTTTTTTTCAGTTTCCTTTGCTCTCAGTAACCCCTTGTGTCTTAGTTACTTTATTGTCTTGCTTGATTAAAAAAATAATAAACTGTCTTGAGGGGAATTGCAATAAGAAAAAATTCAACAATAATAGACTAAAAATTTCTCTAGAGTTGTATAACAATAACAGGGATTGATTTGACACTATATTTATATTATGAAAAGGATCCCTTTCTAAAATGATAATAAAATCAATATTTTTTTATTCTGACAAATGTTATGGGTAGAGGAATATGGATGAATGTTAATCTACAAAAATTATTCCTCCAAATTTCTTCCTTGTTTTTTTGCAAGCAAGTAGTACCTCAAACACTTTCATCCATAAATTACAAGGGAGGTTACCATGACTATAAAAAAAATCATCACAATAATAGAGGTACAACTGAAATTCAACATGTATTAGAAAGAAAGGAAGAAAGAAAATACGAACGAACGAATAAGAAAGAAAGAACATCAGGCACAATTTTTCAGATCAACAAATTTCATTCTATGGAAAATACAGCCAATGTTTAAGAAACCTCAATTAACATTTTCAATCATAGTTTATTTTTAGCAACAAAAGAATTAAGTATTTGGATAAAACATCTCAGGTAGAATTGGTATATGGCATACTGTCTGCATAAAAGCAGTTTTATTGAAGAATTAAACATAAACTGGTTTTGTTGCTGAGATTGGTTCAGAAAGAAATAACACCATTTGCTTTGAATCTCAGATTAAGTTTATATTTTTGCTGAATTTCAAGCCTTCAAATGATAATGTGTGAGTCTTTCATGATGAAAAATTAAGTTTGTTTGTTAACAGAGACTAGTATTTTTATGGTTAGTACTTAGAATAGGCTTTTGATTATACTGCTACACATGTATGATACATCTAAGCTAAGGTAAATAATTCATGCCAGATAAAAATCAAAACATCTGTTCATTAAAAATATGGAAAAGGCCTCTATAAACATTCTTACGAAATAAGAAACCAAGTGGTACCAACTGATAAGGTTGTACCTGTAATCTTATTTTTTTTTTTTTGTCAACAAGTGACTAATATTTGTGCTTTTATGTATAGAATATGTATATGTAAACACATACACAGATGCATTCACTTATGGAATATGTATACTGATATACACACATGAACTGAGAGTACCAAAGTAAAATCAATAAAAAAAAATCATGCAGAAGACAGCAACAACAGCCTTTCTGAGATTCACTGAGAAGTGATAATGGAACCATTATACTGCTTGTTGAGACTTTCTCCTAAGAACCCAGACTTTATATTATCAAAGAAGTGCTACCAATGATTGTTTACTTGTGGCACTTCTTACACAGCCTGATAAATAGATATAACAAAACTCTGGCAGTTGAAAGAAAACAGAAAACCAAAACACTTTCTTATACATTTATTTTTTGTACCTTAATTAAAACAATAAGGTAAAAAGCACCTGTGTATTTGATTGAAGTAATAGAAAAGTACATTTTTGCAAAAACAAAATAAATCCATCTTTTACTCTTCGGTACTAACTGTAGACAACAATTAGCATTTACAACTTTGTCTTTTGTTTTATAAGGTACTTAAAGTTCCCAAGAGCACTCTTAATTTCAATAAAATCTCTAACGCCTGAAAAAAAATCACAGAAATGATGGAGAGGAGAAAAATAAGATAAGTAATCTATATAAAGAAAAAAAAAAGTGTTATTGTTATGAATGACGACAGAGTTGGAGTGGTGCTTACTGAAGCTTTATTGAGCTTCCATGTAGACACCTTTTAGTCATAAGTGTAGAAGAGTTACAATAAAGAGGAGAGGCAACAGATCTTAACACCAGTTATATTACACAAATTTTTACTGTTAGAGGATGAAACACATTACATAAATTTTTTTCTATTTTGTCATTAAATTACCTGACATTGTTCTGTTATATAGAAATTTATATATATTCTCCCACAAGTATTACATGTAATGCCGAGACAGTTATTCCGTCTTGAATTTTTTTAATGTAAACTTTTTTGTTTTTATTTTAAAAAATTTATCAAACATTGAAAGTTTGAACATTTATCATATGCTTAGTAGGTGTTTTAAACATACATTGCTATAACAAATACAGTCAAATGACATGCAAGATTGAAACCTTTCAATTAAACCAATTGGTAATAGAATGGTTGTTATAACTATTTCTGTAAATACACATCTATCCACTACCATCTTCCTTGAGCCCAATGCCCATTGGTGTCAACAGCATTCTGAGCAATCACAAGATCATCGATAGTTGGTGAAATCTATTGTGTTTTTATTGTACAGTTATATTATCTGCACTCCATGTCTAACCACTTTTGTAGTTTCAGGTGGCTGGGTTTTGAAATCAGAATTGTCTTTCTGAAACTGTTTGTTAGCCATAGCTAGAGAACTCAGTCTTTCCTGCTATTTAATCCATAACAAATATAATCTGACTAAAATACAGTGACAAGTGGATGCAAGACATTCAATATGATACTCTTACAATTTAACATTCACAACAGGAGAGAAATTCTTCATAATAATTCACTGTTTTAGTATCTTGATCATAAAAGCAGTACTCATGATCTGTTACGGCAATAATAGTTTTATACTTAATAGAAACACAGAGATGAGAATTATTGCATATTTATTATAGATGTTTAGAATACTAAATGAACTTTTATATACCATACGATTATAGCTCTCCACAACTTCCTGCCATTTGTATCTCTAAGTAACACTTTTCTTTTTGCTATTTCTTGTAATACCTGTTCTACCAGCCATTTACACAAACTCGTTAGGTTGTTCAATATGACCTGTGAGTTTCAAATTCTCTAAGTACTCTTTCCTCATATAAAATTTCAACTCCTTTTTGTTTCCATCTTCTCTAAAACTTCATTGTTGCTCACATATTCTATCCATGGTATTCTTGGCATCTTTCTGTAGAATCACATTTCAGTTGACACAAGTCTTTTCTTCCTCTGTGAAGAGATTGTCTCACATTCAATTTCATATAGGAAGATTGATATTAGATAACAATTCAGTATTTATTCTTTGTTTCTAACAAAATTTTCTTGCTTCTTTATTCTTTGCTTAGCATTTGGAAGGCATCTTTCCTGACTCAGATTGGTGGTAAAAAGAAACATACAGTTATGACCCACTTCCATGATAATCATCATCATTAACTCGCCTGTTTGCTATTCCATGCTAATTAATTATAGATATTCTAATTACTGCCGAAAATAAATTCATTATTACAATAAGTAGATTAATTTCATCAGTTGTTGTTTTTTCGATTGCTACCAAAGATAAGCCAATCATTATCATGAATATTGTTTACTATTGTATATGAACTAGTGCTTCCACCAGTAAGCTAGTTGATATCATATTCTGATATAGGCAACTGACATGTTCTCTTCTTAATACAAAATGATAATCATACAAAAAAGTTAAAAGTTAGTAACCGTCACACCCAGAAAAACATTTATCAGCAAGGAGTGAAAACAAAACAACAGATGGTAGAGATTAAGGGGTGGAGTAGGAAGAATTTGTTTATCTCATTTGAAATGTTTAAATGTTTAAAGGTCTAAGCTGTCCACAAGCAACTTGCCAAATTAATTTACTAGTTTGAACTTTTACTCTTTATAAAGACCCACTGAAAGATTTCCTTTAAATGAGGTAATCTAAAGAATGCCTGTCAGCTTATTATTTAATAAGAACTGCAATCCATGTGAAATGATTTGCAAATTCATCATTAAAATTTAACAGTGAATCCTTGAGATTAATAATTGATTGATTTGCTTTTTATGGCTTATTAACCCTTTGCAGGATATTTAAAGCCAGAAAGTATTTTTTAGATTGTGAGAATTTTTTTAAAAGATAATAATGGTTTAGTGATACAAGTCTTACTAATTAACTCATAGCTGGGTGAAGAACAGGTGGATTCATGCCTTTCCCAAGCGTATTTGCATGTAAGTGAATATAACAAACCCAACAGGAATTAGAACTCTGCTCTCCAATTAACAATTCTGAGCGATTATCCATTACACCATCTGCACATCCAAGCTTACAGCACCTGGTATTCCCAAGTGGTCACCCATCTAGGTACTGACCAGGCTCAACGTTACTTAACTTCAGTGATCGTATAGGAACCAATGTTTCAACATGCTATGGCTATAAGCCTTGAGATTAATCAGTTATATATAGAATAGAACATCATGACTTATTTACTGGAACTGAATACAATCGTGTGTAGATTTAGTGGACCAAGTTCAAATTCCAGCTGATCTAGTTACATTCACTTTCACACACACTTGGAAAGGGTATGAATTCATCTCTATTCCCTCCAACTATGGGTTTAACAGCAAGGTAGACTGGGATCTTTTGCAACCAGTCTAGAAGAAAAACTGAATTCAAAACCAGCCTGAAGAGGGATGGGCTTCATCAGGTTAACTTGATAGACACAACATTGCTGCTATGGCTGTAAGTACATGTAGTGAACTTAATGAGTTATGGAACTTGTGATATGATGCGCACAATGAATTTTATTAAAAAAAAACTCTAAATAAATAGTTTCAAAGTTTTTAATTTTAACAGGACAGTGCTTATTATGAGTAAAAAAACAATATTTTGTACTCGTGGCAAGTACAAACAATAATTGTTGCAAGGGAACATAATTTAAAATAAATGTAATCATCTTTTATAAATTCATGTAAGGCTAAATATTGTCTGTGTGTCCACATCTTACATCAGTAGAACAAAGCAGCTCACATTGTTCATGGGAACTGGGTAATTTTTGTCCTTGACCCATATGTATATGAATGTGTAGGGGCACCTCACATAAAAAAGAGCTTAGTGGGGAGGTCAGGTAAATAAACATTGTTAACACATAAATGTTTACCAGCCTTTTATATATATTACTAAGAAATGGTGTTTACAAAATTAGCAGTAATATTTAATTTGCATTTAACAATTTTTAATAGCATATTTCAATAAACATTTCTTCTGTATTATTTATTTTAAATTCAAATTGTCATAAATAAGCAATGTTTCTGTTGATAAAGTTTTTTTTAATTCATTGTTTGTATAGAAAGAATTTATATCTGCCTTGTCAAAATAAAGTTGTAAGTTAGAAAACCTACAGCATTCATAATAATAAGCATTGTTATCATCTGATATTTCACATTACTACAAATTAGTCAAACAAGGGTAAAAAAAAAGAAAGGATTTATCTAAATAAGTCAAAATAATCTGTTTAATTAGATTTTCTTAAAACTGCCCCAAATTATTTAAACAAGTGAAAAAAACAGTAAGTTTACTGAATCAATTATTATTATTATTATTATTAAAATAGACATTAGAAAAATTAATCAAATGTTTCTCTCATGGTCAGCTCTATATAGCAAGGTCCATTAGGATGTCTTTTTGATTCTGAGTATAAATGTCCTTTTTGTTTCCATTTTCCTTAAGACTTCTTCATAACACTTGGACAAAATACATGTAGTAAAAACAGTCTGCTTTCAATAGTGTGTGCATGTTTCTGAAGATAACAAAATAAGAATTTAGAAAATCAAACCTTATCAAAATACAATCCTTAATGTAAAATTGTTGAAAATGGTATTTATTTACCCATTTCCTAGACATATATTTCTTATAAATACACACCCATTAAATCTAATATATGTTGGCATATAAGTACAGCTCATTGATTGATGTACTATTGGTTTGCAAATTAAAAGGCCTTTGGTACTAAGAAAATGATAATTTATCATATATTTATGAAAATCTTTGATTTCAAATAAAATTGAACTGTACTTGATGAGGAAACATTGGAATATAACTATCAATATTCTCCTTATATCAAAACTATTTACAGAAAATGCCAGCAAGAATGAATCTTGTTCGAGTTTCATAATCTATGGTCTTGTTTGGTAGCTCTGGCCTTAAATGAAAGCCTTAGGTCTACTGAGTAAACTATTATATATAATTTAAAGAAAAAAATGGGGATTTTTTCATGTTTTTAGACAAATCATCTGTTAAAAAAATAAAATTTAAGTGGTATGCACTTACTTGAAAAACACTAATTGAAGTAATTTTTAGTGACAGTAACTGTTAGTAAGTATAAGCAGCAATTTAAAAAAGGTTACTTTTTAACTCTAATTCCAAAGTTGCTGTATTTAAAATTTCAGCTGGAGGGCACAATGGCTGAAATGTAATAATAACAACAAAGATGGGGAAAATAGTCTGTGTGTAAACATTGTAAATAATGATAACTCTTCATGCCAGAAATTCATGACAAAAATTGAAAGACAAGGAAATTTAATTTGGGAATATTCAATCAAACACTGGATATTTTATACCAGTAGATGAAATTAAATATTGGAAGAAAGAGTGTTCTTATTTAATCTGACTTTTTTTTAATCATTTTACTCCAAGGAAGGCAATAAAGCCACAAAGATGCAAGGGGTTACTGAGTGTGGGATAATATAAGGAAAGAAATCATTATTAAGGAGAGAGAACAATAAAAGAACAGGAATTAAGATGATAACAATTGACGATGCATTTAAATTTTTGAAGATCAAAGTTGACTGGAAAACAAGAAGAATTTTTTTTTTTAAAGATGTTAACCTAAAGTAGATAAAGAAGTCTTAAAATATTATTAGCAATGTATATAAGCAAATAAGCACAGAAATACATTGATGGAACTCTCAAACCTATCAAGCCTAATTTAAAAAAACAAAAAAACAGATGCATATAGTTTTTGTATTGCAAAACAAATTTGACTAAAATGTCTGACTCTTTACCAATAGCAAGCTAAATAAAAGAAGGGAGAGTAAAAAAAAATCTGCCAAATGGTTGTTAACTTATTATTTGCAGAATAAATAAACAAGAGAACAACAGACTCAAATGTGGTTATAATACTAAAACACATGGCAATGAATGCACTAGCATTCTCCATTGTCTTTACTTAATACATTGAAGGCTATGACTCAAGGCCAGAGTTAGCAAACAGACCATAAATTTGTAATCCATTAGAAGGGGTGGTAGGGGAGGCAATGGATATCAATACAAGGCAGTTATTATGCATGAAGATGGTTAAGTTCATCTCAGACCTGAAATGGAATTTATTAATGTTGAGTTGTCTAACATTATTTTGCATTTTTACAGAGTTGTGACCCTTGTTTTATGTAGTATAGTTTTTGTTTTTTTGAAAAAGATGGTGGACAACTAACACATCTTGTGTCTACTGTGATATCAGAGCTCATATATATGATCCATGTTAAAGATGCTCGTAAAAATGGTCAGTTCATTATATGACTCCAGAAGGTACTAGACTCCACCTGCTCTGCTTTTAGCTTTACAAAAGCCAGATCAGACCAAAAATGGAGAACTGTTATCATATCTGGGCTGGAGCTGCACAATCTTTACTTTCTAGTCTTGACAAAGTTCAAAAGTTTTTATGCAACCTTGTGTGTGATTTTTTTTTTCACTCTACAACCTCTTTCCAACAGATGAAACATTGCAAGCCTCTCATTACTCTATTGCTATTTCCATGGAAGAAGTTCTGAAAAGCTACGTTAATTAGTTTGACCAGTCAGACCTTCCCAGCTATGAAACACATGCCACATATATTGTAACAAATTATACCTGTTCACTTTGTATTCCATTGCTAAGGAGGAAGTTCCATTCAGACAGCTAAAAAAAGAAGTGCTACTTTGTAGAACAGGATCCTGAAAGGACATTACCCTCATTGCTACAATTTTAGCCTCTTCAAGTTTAGGGTCAACTATTAAGTTTCTTCTATATCCTCATAATTTATGCTCCTACCTCAACAACCTAAGAGTAAAGCATTTTGGAAAGAACCAGTTTAAATCCTCTGCATGACTCTCAGATTGACACCCAAACTCTCTGAAATGTTTGTATTGGAATTTCTGGCACGAATGCCAAGCAGTACAGCATGCCGTTTCCAAATTTCTAGTGAAGTGAATTGCATCTTGGTGCTCTTTTTCTCACAGGTGGTGTCCAATTGACTGTACTATACTGTGCAGTTGACAAAATCAAAAACAAACACGACACATGCATGAAATTAAAAATGCCAACAATTTACCAATTCAATCAATGTGTGTGTGTATATTTTGAAAAATATATATATATATATATATATCCTATTCTTGTTTTTCAGGCATTGAATTGTATCACCTTATATCCGTGAACATGCCTGACTTTTCTGCTAACCTGATCAATATTCATGAGCACTCCAATACCCCAAAATTGGGAGAAACTAATAACATTTTTGCTCTTGTATACAGCACATAATAAAATCTTTACATTTACCTTGATAAAGTCCCCCAGAGGACGAAACACATTGACTAAGTTTTCCATATTGTCATGAAATATATATATATACACACACACTACATTCAGTCTTATTCAGGTTTAACATACAAGGATCATGATTACATTATGTTTTTTCTTTTTTAAGAAACTCTTAGTATATGCTCATTTTCTTAATTAAAAATTTTGATTACACTTGCTGGTAGACATTTATTTCACTGTTCAAAAAAAAAAAAAGCAAAAACAAGAGGGATGTCTACTCAAACCTGTGTACCCACTAAATATAACATTTATAATAAGAAGAAATAATGTTGAATTAAAAAATAAATTGTTTACACACACATCTATTTTCCATAAATAAATGGACTGCTCCATTATCATAACAGTACAATATAAATATCAATAGTTAAGTTTTACAACACTCAGATTTCAATCAGCACCGAATAATATCAATTGCATTGTTATTTTTTACGTAACTGGTTAAGAAAAATATGTATATTTATTATTAGCATAAATTTTAGCTCTGTTATTATATATCAAGCACTGTTTTATTATCACCAGCACTCATCTCTCTGACCATAGCTCAATTAGGTCTCATTTAATTACACATGGAGACCTACCAAACTCTATCCACAACATACTCATTGATAATACAAATATAATAGCATCATCCACATGTACAAAGAAGCTAAAAATAATGGAAGCATTATTAATAAAAACAAAAAAGCCAACATTCAATAATATCAACTATGAACATGGCCACAATGTACCAACCATGTTTGAAATATAAAACATTTCTATATCTCTAGATATATACATCAACAATCCATATATTCAGTTAAA